GGTTGTATCTTAGCCGTTGGATGTGAGGAATGGAAGGTTGAGATTGGTTGACACTGAAACGACGTCGTTTGAGTCGTCTTTGAGGCCTGAATTGAACGGACCGGGTATGGCCTGGGTTTTGGGCTGGTTTTAGTTAGGTATTAGGTGTATTTGTGTTTGGGCTTGGGATTTAAATGGGATTTTAGCCCAATTTTGATTTCCCCCTCTTTCATTAGTCATTTTCATTTTCTTTTCTTCCAAAATTAAAGCTAAGATCCTAATTAAATTTTAAAAAACCTAATTAACTTAAAAAAGATTAATTAACTTTAAATAATACCTATCACAAATAATTGAACACCAAATTAAAATAAAATAAATCACAAAATTTGACATTAAACACTAATAATGCACAAATACGTTATTTTTTATGAAATTTTCATTTTTGTAAAACAACAATTTACTTAATTAATGTAAAAATGTAAAACTAAATTCTAAATGCAGATGCTATATTTTTTGTATTTTCAATGCATTAATAAGATTAAAAAAACGCATAAAATATGCAAACAATCAGGAAAATTGCACAGTAATTCCTAGAATAACACATAATTAAAGAAAAGGACCTAATTTTGAGAATTCTTTTGGAGTAATTCATGTGAGGCAAAAATCACGTGCTCACACTCATAATTTTCAGGCATAGCATTAGACTGTAAACTTAAATTCACTGTTGTAGCAGCTATGGATTTTTGACTTTCATCACTCATAATCATGGAATATGCCTTATTGACTGAAGGTAAAGGATACATCATTAAAATTTGACTTCTAGCCTAGAAATAAGACTCATTTAATCCCATCAGAAATTGATACAATTTTTGCCTTTTCATATGATTCACATAATCCCTAGACTTTTCACAATCACATGGAGCTGGGATTAGTGCTTCAAACTCATCCCACAGATCTTTCAATTTCGTGTAATATTCAGAAACAGAAGATGTACCTTGATACAGTGTTGCAATCTCCATATGTAGGTTGAATGATCGAGAGCCATCAATTTTGTTAAATTTCTCACGAAGATCTTCCCACACTGCATGTGCATCAGATCCATATACTACTCCTCCAAACAACTGTGGAGTTACAGCACTCATAAGCCAGGAAAGTACTATTGCATTGCACCTTTCCCATTACTCCCACAGATTTTCATGAAATTTCTCTTTTTTCCATGTTCCTTCTACAAGTCCTAGCTTGTTCCTCCCGCGTAAAGCTATTCTCATCGAGCGATTCCACAGAGTATAATTGGCCGTACCAGTTAACTGAAAGGAAATGAGTTGTGCTCCACTTGTATCTGAAGGCCCGAGATACAGAGGATAATTATGTGGCAAATCAACTCCAAATTCATTGCAAGCTTGAGTGCCAACACTAGATCTACTTGTTCCTGTAGCTCCAGCTCCAATTATTCCAGGATTTACAGGTGTATCTGTAGGTGTATCTCCCATGGCTGCTCTGCTTCATTGCTTGAAATTTTGAGGAATTGAATTCTTCAAATTCTGAATTCAATTACTCTTACTCTGTTCCAGCTTCGACGAACAGCTTAGATCGAGTCAAGGATCTCTAATCCTGCTCTGATACCATGCTAGAATTGTGAGTAGAAGATTAAGAAGAAGAGAAGAGAGAACATGCAGAGATAAAGGCAACAATGGAGAGAAATTTTCTATGTATATTTCTATGTTCAAAGCTGTATATACAAGCTACAATATAACCGCCTCTCTTACCCTCTTAACAGTCCGCTAACTGACTTAGTATAAATAGACTAATCTACCCTTGTCTAACTAACTAACTTAAAGTAGTGTCCTTAGTCTCAACACAAAAACTCACCGACAGGGTTTGTCCAACAAAAAATATATGTACGATTAATAATATCTATAAAAAAAATTCTTTGAGATATATTTACGATTGGGATCGGATATTAATTAGAACTCTCTCGTAAGATGCGTCCTGCAAATAGATAAAAAGAAATATTTTCATTCGATTAGGACAAGAATCTGAAAAGTGTTCACAGCGTATTAAACAATCCAAAAAGTATTCTTGTAGTCTGAAGTACATTCAATATTGCTAATTTTGGTAACCTTTTTTATTCATTTTACATTTTATCACAATCTCATTCATTAGAACTCAAAATCAAACTGCACTCTTTCTCATACTTCCATCGAAATATGACGACGTAGTGGAACTAAACCTCAAGATGATATTCAAGTTGGTACGACAGTGATTCTTTCGCAACAGTCAAAGTATGTTTTGCTATTAGCTTAACAAATCAGTACCTTTTTCCCTAAGGGAAGAAGGGTAAGTAGCCGGAAAAAATTCACGTGATGAACGAATCACGTAAAATTCTAAACCTACTCATGCATATCTGTTATGAACAAGGTAGACCAAACCAAATGGATTGGATTTGGGAATTGGTTTCGCGTGGGTCAGAAGCCCAAAAAGAGGTTATTAGACTACAATTGGGACCCAGGTTGAGGTACATGCATGTTCCAATTGTAGCCTCTAAAGCTTTACTATTTCAGTCCAAAGTTCCTATAAAATTTTGGGGTTAAAATAGCACGGTATAGTTAGTTTTCGGACTGGTCATTCAAAAATAGTCACTGTTTACAAAGTTAATGAAAAATAGTCACTATTTTGCTGCAACAGAGACCGGTCTCGCATAATATACGGGAGTTCGGTGCATCTGTGTACGAACTCCAGCATATTATGCTGGACCGGTATACTTTGCTGACTCTTGTATAATATACGGGAGACTGGAGCACCGATGCTCCAAACTCCAGTATATTATACTGAATATTTATATTTGCTGGAACTCCAGTATATTATGCTGCAGTTCTAGTGTACTTATGCTGGAACTCCAACATATTATGCTATGCTGGAGTTCTAGTGTACTTATGCTGGAACTCCAACATATTATGCTAGAGTTCCGACATAGTTATCCTGGAACTCCCGTATAATATGCTGGAGTTCAAGCATACTTATGCTGGAACTCCAGTATAATATACGGGCGTATTTTCCGGGTTTTGAACAGTGTTTTCGCTCAGATTTATCTTTACATGAAAAGTGGCTAAATTTCGATTACTTTTGAAACTGAGCTATTTTTGAATGACCAGTTGTAAATCTGGCTATTTTTAAATTTCTCCCGATTTTGGGGGGATTGCCTATTAACAGCTACCTATATTATCAATGGACTTCCTTCCAGGTTACTCAATAATAAATCTCCCTATGAATTATTGTATGGTAAGGCTATTACCAAGCTACTCTCATCTTAGAACTTTTGGGTGTCTCTGCTATGCCATTGTTCCAATTTCCCACGGAGACAAATTTAAACCTAGAGCCTTTCCTTGCATGTTTCTGGGCTATTCTTTTGCTAAAAAAGGCTACAAATTGTACAATTTACACATTAAACAATGTTTTATTTCATGAACACCACTTTCCCTTTTCTTCTGATTTTTCTCTTCCTGTTCCTTCTGAACGCTCTTTACCACATGCATCATACTCTTCACCTTCTGTTATTAACACTGATCCCACATTCCCTTCTGAAGCTCCTAATGTTACACCACATTCCATTCCTGTTACTAGTTCTGATCATTCTGTTCAACCTCCTGATCCCATCTTGCATGATCATGTTCCTAAGGTTCCCCCTTCTCCCACTTCCTTCAATCCTGATATCAATCCTACTATTATACCTGCCTCTTTTCCTGATGTAACCCCTTCTTTCCCACACTACAACATAATGAATCTACAGCTACGAAATACATTGTAGCTAAATATAAAAATTTCCGTGGCTAAACACTTTAGCCACAATATTTTTTCCGTAGCATTCGTAGCAAAATGTAGCGTAGCTAAAAATTAGCTACAAACTTTACATGATCCGTGGCTAAGGACTAATACTTATTGCCACAAATTATTTTATGTTGTAGCTGTAATGGTAAAAATTTCTTGCCACAAAAAATATACTTGTAGCAAGTGATTTTATTCTTTTGCCACGACAAATAAAATTTGTAGCTATCTTCATATTGTAGCCACAAGATTTGGTGTTGTAGCAAAAGATTTAATTTGTTTGTCACGCAAGCTCAACTTCCGTGGCTAAACTTATAATTTACTCTCCTAGCAATAGTACTTGTGATTAGCTATGAATTCAAAATTTCATAGCAACACATTAAAGTATTTGCCACAATAATTTTTATATCGTAGCTAAGAATTCATACTTTTAGCTATGAATTCCATAATTTCGTAGCAATAAACTGAAGAATTTGTCATGATCAACTTTAGCCACAAGAATTTATGTATTGTAGCTAACAATCCATATTATATCATCAAATATATAAAAAAATTAGCAAAATATTTTTAATATTTTTAAATAAATGATATACATTAGTAAGAATAAATAATTAAAGGTTCAACAATATCATTCAAGATAAATTAGAATACTAAAATGTTGTTATACTCAAAAGTACGATATTTTTTACAAGAAAAAGAATAATTTCATACAGATCCACAGTACATAACTCTTTTACAACACAGAATAATAAAGTTCTAAAAAAACTAGCTAATGTGAGTCTGGATAGGGATGGTAACCATCAGCGGACAGTGAAGAGAAATCAAAACTCATAACTGCTCCAATGCTTTTCTAATACCAGGTTCCGATGGCGAATTGAAAGACATTAGCCGATTGTATTTGTACCCTGTGCGTGAAAGAAATTGTTGTTTTTGCGGATATCAAGAACAAGGACGCAACAAAATAAGATCTTATAGCACTCCATCGATTACTTCACCTGGTGACACCACCTCCTGATCCAGCAAGATTGCCATGTTACCCTCTTGATCTTGCAGGACTGCCACCTTCTGTTTCTACAACTATGAAGGAGTCATAAATTCTAACCTGTATATAAAAAAAATGACATCCACACCATAAGTTTAGTACATTAGTTAGTTGGGACTTGTCAATCACATTTGAACTAAATAACATTTCCTTTTGTAGGGTAAGATTCTGCCAGAAACAACAACCTGCTTCTTTAAAACCTTAAGATTATTTGTGCAATGTATATATCAAAAAACTACAAACCGTTCAAGACATAAGTCTTATTTAGCAGTTCTTAGTTTGAAGCACAACACTATAAGAAAATACTACCAATCCCATAAGCTGCATTTCTTCTTAGTATCTGATAACTAGGTGTTTCCAAGTCTGAAGTCTTGTAAATTCTTAAGTTTGTAACTGCCAAAAAAATTATATTCTCATATTTCTCTGCTCAAGAAAGGAGCATAAGCTAAACCAGTTTAACATCACACTTGTTTCATAAAAACAAACATTACTAGAGTAAAATATTATTATTCTAAATAAAATTTCAGAAGTCCTAAAACTTTTAACAAGAATTTTGTAAATACTCCATCCTTCACTAGGTAGTATATCCAATTGATTTTGTTTTCAGAAAGAGTAAAGTATCATACATACCTCATGATTATTACACTTGTCTGTTTGTACGTTGATGCCCATAACACAAGTGCCTGAAAAGACAAATTCGGGTTTACTTAAAAAGAATAAACCTAATCACCATACTGCAACATAAATTTGGAGCATATGCCTACAAATGGTTGTGCTAATGCATCCCATAATTTCATCCTTATAAGCTGTTGGAGTATTCTTGACACTTATCAATATAGCTAAAGTCGGGATTGCCATTTCACTGTCACAATGTAATGATGAAACTGAAAGGAACTATTCTCGATCAAGAATCCTAAGAAAGCATGGCAAAAATTGAAATAATTAAGAAGAGGAAAAAAAAACTAGGGTGGCCATACCTTGACAATTTCTGTTTTCCAAAACAAGAGGAACGAGGGTTTTAGGGATAGTTGCTTAGAGTGGGGAAGGGTTAGAGTGGGAGATGTGCGGATATTTTTTTGGGGAATGGGTTTGGGAGTCTAAATATTTTAGGTCTTAAGGGAATGGAGAGATTTGGGCTTTAATCTTTTTCTTCTTTTTTTTCGTTTATATTTTTTATTTGTAACTTTGCCTTTAACTTTTCATATATTTTTGCACACAAATGAATACCTACACGATATTATGTAAAAAACTAAAAACAAAACTAATGTAGTAATAATAAAATTTTGCTAGCAAAACAACAAATAAACAAAATGGGAACTAAGCTATTGTGTATATAATGTTTTGAGTTTAGATTGTAGAAAAAATTAAATTGTAATAAAAAATTCATTTAAAGTATAAATAGAATATTTTTTAGAATTAGTTGCAATACTTATACATCTATAAGGGATCGTTTGGTTTGAAGACAAGTTATGATGAGATCAATTATGCGAGGATTAATTGTCCTAGTATTATTTCTTGTTGATTGTTTGGTATATCGTATTAATCCTGGGATTGTCAATTTTACTGCTTTATCATGGGATAACTTATCCTGGGATTACAATTCTACCCTCTGGCATGTATAAGTTATCCTGACATTTTTACTCTTGGGATAACATATCCCAGGATTAGTAACCAAAAAAGGAATTGGCGGTACTAAATTTTTATTTCAAAATTATTTTCCTTATCCATCATATCAAACGACCTTTAACAATTTGTTGCCTTTTATTGAGATTGATTTTATAAACATATATAACATTTAACATCTAAATTTTATTTTGTTTTTGATTAAAATATATCCAAAAAAAATTTAAATTTATTTATGTCATAAAAGAAAATAATATAGTTTGTTTTTAAAATTTCAAATGATATTCCAATTTTATTAATTAAAAATTTAAAAATCTAATACAATATCAATAAGGTGGAACGTATGAACAAATATTAAAATATAAAAAGTTTCTACTTTTATATTTTTCAATTTTTTTCCCCTAGTTAACAGAGTTTTTTTCTGTTCCCGATTTTTTCACTAAAATTTATTAAAGGTACGTCTCCAACAAATATAATTATATTATTTTTTTACTTTATAAAATAATAAACAATTAATATATAGATATTTAACCAATGATGTTATAGAGAGATAGTTTTACATGAGTATACTATTATAATGATGGATGTTGATAATATAATAAAATATTGTTATAGAGATATAAAATATAAAACAAAAATCAATTCCTAAGAAAACTTATTGTTACAGTGAAATAATGGTCTAAAAGATGACTATTATAGAAAGATCAGATTGTACAACAAATGATCTATTATTAAAGAGTATTGTTTAGATTTTAATTATATATTTTAAATTAATAATTTTTTTAATTGTATACAATTATTAACTTTTCTCTATTATACCAAAACTCTAACTCTTTATGTTAAAAGTTAATTAATTAAAATATTTCTCTAACTTGTTACAAGATTATAGTTGTTTAAATTCTATATTTCACACATCAATTGTAAATAGTTTGATTATTTTTTAGTTACAAATGGAAACTTACAAGTTATATTTATTTAATAAAATTATAATTAATTTTCTATGGACTTAGATATCAACAATATTAAATTCATAATACTTAATGTAATTAAACATATGAAAATTATATAAAAATGTAACAACTATTTCCACATTTTTTATATATCTTGAAGCAAAAATATTCATTTAGCTACAACATGTAATTCCAATAGTTTAATGTGGCTAAGAGTTTACTATTTTTATGGTTAGTTTTAACTCATGGAAAAAAATTAATGATTAGCTACAAAATTTCATCATATCAATAAAATTGTGGATATGTCGTTTCTCATAAAAAACAATTATATCTGCTTATTAGCTAAAAATTGCCATAATTTTTAAAACTTGAAGAAAATTAGTTTAGGACAAATATAAAATTGACCGGTTGGGCAAAACTAATTGCATTCTTTAGCCAAGTATATAAAATAAGTGTATTATATGTATATGATACACATATATACAAAAGAGATTTATTTTGTCGATTATTATTTTTGGGAACGGCTAAAAATATATATTTCTCATTATTATTTATTTAGATACAACATTTAATGTCAAACATATTTAGTTTGGTAACAAGGTTACTTGTGCTATAGAGAGCTTCAACCGTAGCAAAAATGTATAATTAGCTACAAAATTTTATCATAGTAATAAATTTGTGGCTGTATCATTTAGTCATGACAACAAACTGCAGCTATTAAGCCAACTATTGCAATATTTTTTTTATAACTTGAAGCAAAAATATTTATTTATCTATAATATTTTATTTTAAGTAATTTGTTATGGCTAGAAGGTTACTTTTGCTATAAATTTTAACTCGTGGCCAAAATATGTGACTAGTTACGAAATATTATTATAGCAATAAATCAGTGACTATATAATTTCATCATGACAATTAATTGTAGCTATTAATCCAAATGTTGTCATGTTTCTTTTAAATAATTTGAAGTAAAAATATTTATTTAGTTACAACATTTTGTTTCAAATAGTTTATTGGGGCAAAATGGTTACTTTTGCTACAAGTAAGTTTAACTCGTGGCAAAAATATATATTTAGCTATGAAATTTTATCATACAAATAAATCTGTGGCTGTATCATTTTGTCATGATAACTAATTGTAGTTGTTAAGCCAACCATTGCCACGATCTTTTATAACTTGAAGAAAAACAAAATATTTATTTAGCTTTTCATTATATGAGCACTTATTTAAAAATGAATTATATAAAATCATATATATATATATATATATATATATATATATATATATATATGAATACGTTTTTGAAATAAATAAGTATATTTATTTAAAAGTAATAGAGTATATGACATACATAAATATCCACAACTATTAATAATAGTTTAAATTTTACATAACAAAATATGTAACTAACAACAACTGCAGTAAAATAAAATATGAGCTTGATAAGTCTAAAAAGACAATTGATAAGTTCTGCTGATATAAGCAAGTAAACAAATGATATATTATTTGAGAATGAAGATTAATTTTGCATTATAAACAATTATTTAATCTCATATATAATTACTATTTTATTTCTTATGGTGTTTTGGCCAAGCTTTTCAAGAGGCCAAAATTGTTTTCTTTTCTTCGTAAAAGCACTTTATTTTCCTAACTTGAGGTGTTTGGCCAAGCTTTTTTGGGAAAAAAACAATGATTTTGGAAAGAAGCAGAAGCACTTTCTGAGAAGTAGAAAAAAGTAACTTCTCCCCAAAAACAGAAGCAAAAGCATTTTGACTTTTCGTCTTACCAAAAATACCCTTAATAAAATATAGTAATATATACTAAAATAACCGTTAAACCTAATACTTAGCAAGAGCAATATTTTATTTTCATATTTTATTTAAATAAAATGAAAAGATTTAATTATTGCTTGTAATAACAAAATTTTGAGATTATTTATTTACTTATAATATTAACTATATATTAAGTAAATCTATTCGTGTCCTTATTCGTAATTTGATACTTAAAAGTATTTTTTGAAAAACTTGGCCAAACACAAATTATTGTTCAAAAGTACTTTTCAAAGTGATTAGCCAAACACAAATTGCTTCTCTTTTTCAAAAGCAGTTTTAAAAAAAGTACTTATCAAAATAAGTTGATTTCTCCGGCTTAGCCAAACAAGTTATTAATCATATACAACTACTATTTTTCTATCTTAAGAAAAATACAACGGTTACATTTGACATTAATATTTTATTACCTAATAGTGTTAGACAACTCTTCGCATGATTTTCATAATCAAGCAAAAATATTCATCACTTTTGTCGTGACAACCATTTTCATTTTTTTAAGCCAACTATTTTTATTTTCTTTCTAGTTTGAAGCAAAAATCATTAGCTACAAGATTTTGTTTCGAATAATTTCATGGGCCTTTAAGGTTATTATTACTATAGTAAGTTTCAACTTGTGGTAAAAACTGACGATTAGCTACGAAATTTTATCAGAGCAATAAATTTGTGGCTAGATTAATATGTAATGAAAAATAATTATAGCTATTAAGCCAATCATTGCCCTCAATTTTTAGAAATTGAAGCAAAAATATTCTAGCTATAATATTTTATTTTAAATAATTTATTATGGTTAAAAGGTTATTTTTGCTACAATAACTTTTAGTTTGTAGCAAAAACTAACAGTTAGCTACAATATTTTGTCATACCAATAAATCCGTGGCTATATCATTTACCTATTGCCACAATTTTTTATAACTTGAGGCAAATATTTTTCTTCAGCTATAATATTTTATTTTAAATAGTTCATCGTGGCTAAAATATTACTATTGCTACAATAACTTTTAATGTCTGGCTAAAACGCCTAAATTAGCTACGCAATTTAATTGTAGCAATAAATTTGTAGCTATTTAGACAATTATTGCTACGATTGTTAGCAATTATAGCAAAAATAAAGAATTAACTTTACCAGTTTAATTTTCGTGGCTAGCAAATTTTACGAATGTGTAAATAGCCAGGAAATTCTAATTTTTGTAGCTATTGTTAGGTATTAGTCATGATTTTCAAATTTGTAGCTGAGATTTCGTAGCTATAAATACCTTATGTTGTAGTGGGCCACTTTTAAGGAAATCCAGTAGAGTCCGTTCTCATCCCTCCTATTTGAAGGATTATGTTTATCAACTCCCTTCATCTCTTTCTTGTTCTGTCACTCAGCATACAGATTTTGAGCCTTACACATACTCTCAGGCAGCTCCTATACCAACTTGGCAAGATGCCATGAGGAAAGAATTTGAAGCTTTAGCACTAAATCACACTTGGGACATTGTTGAGTTACCACAGGGTAAGAAGCCCATTGGGTGCAAATGGGTCTATAAAATCAAATACAAGGCTGATGGTAGTGTAGAAAGATATAAAGCTAGGCTTGTCATTAGAGGGGATACCCAAGTTGAGGGGGAGGGACTTTAATGAAACCTTTTCTCCTGTGGTGAAAATGTTTACTGTGAAATGTCTTATTGCTGTTGTTGTTAAGAAAAAGTGGTCTTTATTTCAACTTGATGTTAACAATGCATTCCTTCATGGTGATTTGGATGAAGAGGTCTACATGAAGCTACCTCTGGGTCTTTCTGTTTCATCTTCCACTTCTTCTACTTCTGCTCCCCTGGTCTGTAGACTTAGGAAATCCCTTTATGGTTTAAGGCAAGCTTCAAGACAATGGTATGCAAAATTGTCCCATGCCTTATGTTCTAGAGGTTATAACCATTCACTTAATGACTATTCTTTATTCATAAAAGGTTCTCTTGGTCATCTAGTCATCCTGGCAGTCTATGTTGATGACATAATTCTCACAGGTGATGATTTACATGAAATTGCTTCTTTGAAACATTTTCTTGACAATGAATTCAAGATTAAAGATTTGGGGTCCTTGCATTATCTCTTGGGTATTGAAGTCAGTACTTTGCCTGGGGGTATTCTCCTTAATCAAAAGAAGTTTGTGACTGATTTGCTATATGAGTATGACTGTTCTGATGTGAGTTTTGTGGTTAGTCCTTTGGAGTTGAACAACAAACTACATGCTGATGTTGGTGATGTCCTTCCTACCCTAGAGAAGTATAGAAGTCTTATTGGTAAGTTGTTGTTTCTTACACACACAAGACTTGATATTTCTTTTGGGGTTCAACACTTAAGTCAATTTTTGAAGACACCTAGACTTCCTCATATGACTGCTGCTCTTCACCTACTTAGATACCTCAGGGGTACTGCTGATCTTGGACTATTTTATTCTGATTCCTCTTATTTGCCTGTACATGCTTACTCCGCAAGTGATTGGGCTGCCTGCCCAGATACACGCAAATCTTGATGACAGTCTTGTTGATTGGAAGTCTAAGAAGCAACCAGTGGTTTCTTTGTCTTCAACTGAAGCATAATATCATGTTGTGAGCAAAGTCATTGCTGAATTGACTTGGTTATCCAGATTATTGCATGACATTTACGTTCCTGTTTCATCTCCTATTCCTGTTTTTTGTGACAATTTGGCAGCCATTCATATTGCCAAGAATCTGGTATTTCACGAGCGTACTAAGCACATCGAGGTAGATTGTCATTTCATTCGGACTAAGTTGCTTGATGGAATGATTCAGCTATATCATGTACCCACTGCTCAACAACTTGTTGATGTCCTTACCAAACCTTTACCTGATGCTCTCCATCATTCTTTCCTAGGCAAGTTGAAGGTGCTCTCCCTCTTCAACTTAAAGGGAGGTGTTGGGCTATCTGCATATTTGGCCTCAGGCCCAAAGTGGAGAACGTGACACATCTGCAGGCCCAATGTTTATTTATCCGTATAGCATTGTTTTTGTTCAGAAAATAGAATAGTATTTTTCCTTTTGTTTAGCTTAGTGAGTTGATATTGTAATAGACTAATTCCGGGTATTGTATATAAAGGAGTAGGCCCAATTCTAATGGGTTGACCGACTTATTTCTCATTCTCACACTTTTTGTTAATTAGAGTTCTCTCTCAAAAGAACCTTCTCGAACCCTAACTTCCATTGATGAAAACCTTCATTTCCTCTGATTTTGTTTGTTAACACATGTGTCAATGAATTACTGGACAAAAGGGATACAATTACTATAATAATTAGTTCGTGTAAATGTACGCTTATGCAAATTGTTATAGGGAAAACTTTTCCCTCCTTGTCTCTCTCCCTCGTCTATTTCTCTCTGTGAATCTGTCTTCTCATCCCATTTCTTTCTATTACTGTCACTTTTTAGTGTAATTTCTATGTTCTCGTTAACAATATATCAATCTGTTAATTAGGTATATGGTTGTACATATTGGATTCATTACATTGGTGCTTTCATTGATTTGGACTCCATGGATCTCTACTCTTCTACCATTGTCCACTATCACCTCAATGCCATCCAGGATTTGATAATGGCTATGATGGACAATAATGCTCGTATGCTCAGGCACCTCGACAACATGGAGCAGATGATGTCTGCCTCTTCCAAGAAGATCCCTAACACTACAGAGCACTCAGACGTGGTTGTGTCTTTGGACGATAAGTGTGAGTCAGAGGAGGTCTCGACACCTCTTGTTATTGCAGAATCAATGACTAATTTTGATTTGGATAAAGGACTCTCCAGCCCTGTGGACGATCCCGAAGAAGAGGCTTATTTGAGAAGCTATGCCTACCAGGTGTTTGCTGAAATACCCAACGGGGAACTTAACATGGAAGTTAAAAATTCAGTGAAGAATGATTCAGTCATTACAGCAACCCAGCTGTTTGATGAAGTGTTTGACGTAGTTTCTGCAGTTAAGTGTGCTTACAATGATCTTGTCATGTTTGATAATCAACTTACAGTGCCTTGTATGCTTTCCGCTTGCCGACACAACCAACTTATCAGTAGAGGTATACTTGATTATTTGTATAAACTCGGTTGTGCTGAACTTTTATTCACTTTGCATCAATTTCCACCTAATCACTCTGGATTAGACTTTCCCTTTGATCCTGGCTCCAGTTTGCCTTCCACATATGTTGGCGCTACAAGAAATTTTGTATTTACCTAGTGGAATGCTTGCATTGTGCCCTTGACCCTTCCGTTGCAATATATTGCAATTGTATGCAGACGGGTAATAACAAATAGTGTGGGCTCAAATGTTCTCATAGGGATTGCAATTCATGGTTTTCACATAGATATTGATGATGTTGTTACGTTGGACGAGCAAGGAGCTTATGGTGAATGGCCACTTGGCCTACCAACAAAGGATTCCCTGGTTGCTGATGATAAAAGAAATAACATTGCTGCTTATATTCATCTAATGGTCAGGGTGTGGTCATTTTTTATTAATCTTCCGAAAAATGCACTGGATATTAAGGAGGATGAGAGGCTAGGAATGGCCAAAAATCTTCGATGGTTAAGGAGCATCTTCACTGATGAAGATGTATATTTTTATGTTCTTCTATTTGAACTTCCTACAATATCTTATATTAATCACAAGCTAGATGAGCTCCTGTTCCATTTTAAAAAGAAGATCTTGAAAACCTTCCTGATGGTTTCCTCTTTCCGTCACTCTTGGTGTGCAATTGATTCTTTCCTGATTAAAGCCCTTGTCCATTCTTACTTTCTTTATTATGAGAGTATTACTGTAGCGACCTTCCAATTGCATCTTCCAAGAATTTCTGATTCTATGTGGGTGGCGGGGGATAGTATGAAAAAGAATGGATATTATGGAAGTCATTCATGGGACTATACAAGGTTATGTGAAGAACACCAAATCTGGAATCCAAATGTTGAAATAGCTTTTATATGTGAGAAGTTGCAGCTAGTCTATCATCTTCTAATAATAAAATTATCAACTCAAAATATTTTGAGTAATCATGGAGCTATAAAGTTGCACCAGTTTCCAGTGCTACTATGTATATTGTTAGTCTTGGTGGAATCGTGCTTCTTAATTGTGTATGGGATCCAGGAATCAATTCCAAGACCATGAATCTATATGTTCATACAGAGACCTCGGAGGCACAACTATTACTGGGATCTCGGGGCAATTTTTGTTTCTGTGTATATTCTGATTCTATGACTAAGGTGTGGGATCCCGGCAGACAAAGGGATATCTCATCTCACTCGACGGATTTGGCTAAAGGGAGAGTGAAATATGGAATTTATCATCTGACATATTTAGACATATTTAGCTTTGATATAATCCGTGAGGGTAACCTCGTTCTTTGCAATCAAATGGACGAACCTGGTATGTTTAGCCTAATTGCAAACAGGTTTGCTGATGCTTTTATTTCATGGGTTTCAATTTGTACTAAAGCTCACTTGCCGTTCTTCATGTACTAGAAAACTACATATGTCTATGACCCTTTACCTAGTCTGGTAATTTCAAGGCATGAGATTGTGATTGATCAAAACAAGTTGGAGTTAAGGAACAGAGGAAGAGAAATGCTTTTCTACTGGCAGAGAGCTAGTAGCTATGGTCAAATGAGGATTTGTCACATTTTGCAGTATCTTGCTTCGCAGTCAACTCCGCCATACCCACTTCAGCAACAACGACAAGGCAGCTTAATTCGACCACATGTCAACACTCATTCCTTATTGATAAGGCTATACTCGAACCTTGAGGACAAGGTTCTCTTTGAGGGCGGGAGTATTGTTATGAACAAGGTAGACCAAAACAAATGGATTGGGCTTGGGAATTGGTTTCGCGTGGGTCAGAATATTAACCAGCCCAAAGAGAGGTTATTAGACTACAATTGGGACCCAGGTTGAGGTACATGTGTCAATGAATTACTGGACAAGAGGGATACAGTTACTATAATAATCAGTTCGTGCAAGTGTACGCTTATGCGAATTGTTATCGGGAAAACTTCTCCCTCCTGGTCTCTCCCTCGTCTATTTCTCTTTGTGAATCTGTCTTCTCATCCCCTTTCTTTCTTTTACTATCCTTAGTTACTGTCACTTTTTAGTGTAATTTCTTTGTTCTCGTTAACAATATATCAATCTGTTAATTGGGTATTTGGTTGTGGATATTGGATTCATTACAATATCATGCAACTCTAGAGTGTGTGAAAGAGAGAGAGAGGGAGAGAGAAATTTACATGTTTAAAATTATTATTCCCGATCGAATGAGTTGTGAATTGAAACAAATTTTTTCAATAAAGTCATCTGAAATACAATTTTATTATCATAAGGCAAGACACCGGGATAAGCCATAAATCATCAATCATATCACATATTTAAACATCAATTAAGACTTTCACTAAATTAGAAGGCACTATAAATTAGAGGCAAACAAAACAAAACTTTAAACCCTAATTAAAGATGTAAAAAGAAGAAGTTATATGTAGTTGATCAGAGGGTCGTGCGTTTAGGATTTATCTTTGTAAATTGTAACCTACAGATTAGTTGATGAACATAATCAGACCTCTATGCACATCATTTAAATCAGCTTTGTAATCTTGAAAAAAAGGGGGAAAAGGAAGAAGAACCAAAATAAAAAATATATGAACTTTTAACACATTCCAACGACAATGGTGCATGTGCCAGTGGAACTCAATATAAGGGTGGTTCGAAGAATTGTTTTTCATGATGTTTTGGATGTGGACTGTTCCAAATTTGCACCTTGGTTCTGATTTCTGGTTTTAATCGCTTCTTCTGAACTCAAGAATATGTAAGACATAGTAATCGAAATAGCTAAAACGTTGACGTGGGCAACCTGGACAATTATTACCATTTTTTGTAGTTGGATTTATTAAGTTATATAGTGATAGCGTAAGGATTTCTAATCTCTCTCAAATGAAACTCCAGAATCATGAATCCCCAAGCCAAAAAATACCCAAACCACTTGATATTGATCATGACATTTCCATACAAACCAACCTACAAACTAAACTATCCTTCAAGGACATGTTAACAACATCTAGTCCAATGATGTTTGACTCTACTCGAAATAAAAAAAAAATTGGAGTTAACAGAGAATTCTCATATAGAAGGTAGGGCTGAACTTCCAGAATCCCCCATTGCATAAGGAATCAAAGTTATTGTTTTGTCAGATGAAAACAGACAAAGAATTTACGAGCCCTGGAAGAATGATATCATAGTGAAGTTAGTGGGCAAACGCATGTTGCACCACTACTTGAAAAAGAAAATCTAAGACTTATGGAAGCCAACGGAAGATTTCCAAATGATTGATCTAGGAGAAGATTACTACATAATCAAGTTCAAAAATAAAGACAACATGGAGAAGGCTATTCAACAAGGACCTTGGTTCATTAATGGTCATTTCCTCTTCATCACTAAATAGAAACCAAATTTTGTGGCTTCAAAAGAGAGGCTAACAACAACGGCAGTATGGGTTAGACTCCCACAACTGCCTACGAAATTTTATGATGGCAAAATACTTGAAAAAATTGGCAATGCAATTGGTCGATTGATGTTTGTACTTCAACCACATCAAGGGGTCGATATGCAAGACTTTGTGTTGAACTTCCTCTAAAAATCCCAGTCCAACCATTCCTATATGTTGGACAACATAAACAACACATTCATTATGAAGGAGATAACTTCCTATGCACAAACTGTGGCAGACTAGGCCACACAATAAAACAGTGTTCTTTTATTAAATTGGATGCTAAGGCGGTTAAGGAAACAACCAAGGAGCAGGCGACATCCTCAAATCTGGAAAATCAACAAGAGGAGTGGAAGACAGTTTCCTTTAACAAAGGAAGGAAACAAGTCTCAAGAAGCATCCAACAAGATACCATCAAGCCGGTCAAAAATAACAAAGGTCCAGGTATCCCCGTTAAGATGTTCAATGCAAGCACTGGTAAATACCTCGATACTAAGTATTTACAATACAAATCAAAGGATCCGAAGAAATCCATTACTCCAATGGACATAAAGATAGCAAAAAATCCTACTACCACTACTAAGGTAAGGAATCCGGCTACCATAGCTAAACCAGGAACCTCCCTACTAATAAAAAGTAATTTTATTCTCTTAGAAAATGAGCACATGGTTTTAGATGAAACCACTAATGAAACCACCCAAGGGAATAAGTTATTTTTTAATGATCCTAATAATAGCCATGCAAATGAACAAATGTCCACTCCAAATGAAGATTTTGACATGCTGGAAAATAACGTGTCTTTCCCTAAAAAAAAATTGAAAATGAGTCCATGCAAGAAAGTTGGGCAAATGACAAATCTACCCCTACTACTAATACCAACTCTATTGCCCTTTCTACCAATGAAATAAAATAATTTGGTAATTACTCTAGCTTAACCAAAAATCCGGACAAAAATCTTTCATTAGGATTTGATAATCTTTTCCTCCCTGAGCATGTAAGCCAAATGGCCAAAAAAGATGGCCATGTCTTACATTTGTACAATAGCCATAGCCAAACAATGGATACTACATCCATAGAAGAAAAACCTATAAACAATGGCATTGGGCAACCAAAAGCCATGCAATCGAAATCCCAAATCATTGCCCTATCACCCAATCCCTCACACGCAACTCCTAGCCTTTCTTCCACGCCTAAGTTGCAGACCTTAAGTATTCCTATCTCCATTCAAAATGCCCAGACTTCCCTCGACCATAAGGAGACGACCCAGACTTATACAGATTCTAAGGCAACACAGAGCAATTGCCATGGAGAATCTACCACCCTTTCCTCTCCAAATAGAAAATCCATAAATAATATACGTCCAACCTCCAAAAGCACAGGACTACTAGCCTGTGTCATGGATAGAAATGGGATTAATGGGCCATGCAGTATCATTCAACCTACAAATCAATGGTCAGGACTCAATTGTCATACTATACAACACTCAGTACTTAGCTCAACTAGTAGCGGAGGGAATGAGGTTAGACATAAACAACTACCTCAATCAAGTATGGCTAAACAACATCCTACAACCCCTAGCTCCCTCAGTAAACCCTCAACTAGTGCATGCTATGAGAAACCATTGGAATCTACTACCCCATTTCAACTCCATATACCCACAGAATGCTCTCCTAGATATGCCATTCTTTCCCTCAGAAACACTAACTCAACTCAATCCCATATTCATGCCATGGGAGAACCCTCCACCAGTTCAGGAACCCCACATTCCTCAACCACCCCAACAACCCCCATCACCACCTCATCAACCTGCTCAAAACCAAGAACCAGTAGAGGCAGAGATGGAGGAGGAGGAGGAACCACTCAATATAATCTTAGAACGAGTCCTAAAATTCTCAAACCTAGACGGGGTAAAAGTATTTCTATTTACAGAGATGCAAGAGAAGAGGCACGTACTCAACTGCTCACTAGCATTATACAAATGCTCGATGGACATCAGGCCACCCCAGGACCCAACGGTGGGAAACAGGGCAATGATATCAGTGCCTGCATTGAGAAGGAACCCAATACTAGGGCAGTGAGGGAAAACGGGGAGCCACCAAATCAAAACCTTAATGTCTCTATGAATCGACCAACTAATATCATCATTTGGAATATAAGAGGTGGTAATAATGAAAACGTTAAAAGAAATATCAGGGAAATGGTCGACACTCATAAACCATGCATGGTGGCTTTAGTGGAAACTAGAATGGGTAGCCATGTTGAACTGCTTAACGACTTTGACTTACGGAGATGATAGAGGTTCCATCTGATGGCCAGACAGGAGGAATTGTGATACTATACAACCACGAGGTGGTGACTGTCCAAAACTTTGTCCGTAGAAATCAAGAAATCCATGCAACGATTGAGGTACTTCCTATACGTAAACTATGGCTTTTTAGTACAATATATGCTAGTACTGATATCTATAATAGAAATACTATATGGGAAAACCTAGAGAATATTAGTAGAAATCATATAGGCCCTTGGATGGTGGGAGGGGATTTCAATGATGTTTTTAGTTCTAATGATAAGTTTGGAGGCAGACCTCTCAATGACTCTAGAGCCAAATTCCTTTGGTCTAAACTTAATAGTTGTAAACTCATTGATCTTGGATTCAAGGGATACAAATTTACTTGGTCTAACCATAGGCATAAAAATAAAGGTCTAATAATGGAAAGGTTGGATAAAGTATTTGGGAATGATGAATGGATAGATTTATTCCCTAAAATTTCAATAATTCACCTTCCTAAAACTTACTCGGATCACAACCCTATCCTAGTTGAACTAATACCTAGAATTAGAACCCTCCATAAACAACCCTTTAGACTAGAAACATTTTGGTGCAAACACCCGAAATTTCTACCTATAGTGAGAGACAATTGGTGTGACCCAAACTTCCTTAGAGCTAGTCATAATTTTGTTCAATGCATAAGATATTGGAAAGCTAGAACATTTGGTGATATTATGGGAAAAAAGCGTAAATTTTTAGCTCGTCTAAATGGTATACAAAATTCAAAAAAGTATGCTACAAGCATTTTGCTACAAAACCTTGAAAAGGACTTAAAAAGTGACTATAATGATCTTCTGATGATAGAGGAAGATTATTAGAAAATAAGATCTAGGGTAATGTGGCTAAATGAAGGTGACTCTAATACAAAAAATTTTCACATTTGTTCCTCAAATAGGAAGAGACGAAATAAGATAATTTTTTTTTAAAATGATGCTGGAAATTCGATCAATGATCCCCTTTTAATTATGTCTTATGTCCAAAATTATTTTGAAAATATTTTCACCACTTCTCACATCAATACAAGTAGGAAAAATCCTCTAAACCATAGTTCAAATATTGGTCTTGTAAACCTTAGTACATTAGATAGACCCTTGCTAGACATAGAAATCAAAAGGGCCATTTTTTCTTTCAAAGCTTTTACAGCTCCAGGACCTGATGGACTCCACCCTTTTTTTTTTTACCAAAAATACTGGAATATTATAGGCCCTTCAGTTGTGAAACTATGTCATGACATTTTAATACGCAAGTAATCCCCCTATTATTAACAAAACCTATGTTTGTCTAATACATAAAATTCCAAATGCTAACAACATTAGGAATTTTAGGCCAATTGGACTCTGTAACACCATT